TCCCAGGCTGCACAAGTTCTGTGGGTGAAGACTCATTTGCAGCCCTCTTGTTCCAGGGAGCACCAGCACTTCCAGGAGGCTCACAGTCCATCAGTGAAAGTGTTGGTGACATCAAAACTATGAGGCCTCCTTTCTTGTCACTGAGCTTTCACTGACTCTTAAGAGTGTGGGCTCAGTGTCACACTGACCTCTCAATAGAGGTCCACAGTATTTCCACTGAACTGAAATGTCCTACACCCTGTAGTTTCCGGTCTGATCAAATTGAGTAAAAAATCACAGTTTTCTGTTGGTTGAAGTGAATTATAATCAACATTTACTATCCCTGCAGAACTTTAGCATACTGAGTGGGCATCTGAGAAAGCAGATGCTTTTTTAGACTGAGCTCTTTGTCATAAACGTAGTTCTGGACAGTCTCTGCAGATCAGGACTGGGTCACTTGGGAAGATAGCGCTGACATGTTTGTGCTAAGGACAGAAGATACCAGTACACAAAGCTGTCAGTTTAGCACCTTTTGAAAAGCTTTAACATTCTCTTTAAAACACAGTTGAGAGAGAAGAAAAGGCCAAGTAAGGTACTGATGAAAATAATGTTAAAAAAAGCAGCACTTACTGGTTGGAAGATAAAATATATATAATCAGGCTTTCAAGAATAAGCACTTAATTTGCCTAAAGACTATTACAGAACTCATTCTTAATGTACCTGATTTGCATAAAATACTTTTTTTTTACAACTACCTATTGTAGCACACACCTAAAATGGGAAAGCACAGTTTTCCATCAAAGCTCAACTTGTCAAGTCAACACTACAGATGTGCTGCCTATTTGTAATGTGATTTTCCAGTCTCAAATGTCATTAGGCACATAGATAGCATGTGGGAGGTGGTGTGTATTTTAAAAGTAACTTTAAAAGAAATTAATGAACAGTTTCTCTCAGGAAGCAGTGGTTCTAGGAATTAATCCACCTGCAGCTCTTGGGGTGGCTTTTTTTGCAATGTGTGCTAATTCAGCTTCACTCAGAGGTTGCTCCTTTGGAGTCAATCTCTTGAGTGTTTTCTGGATCAGATTCTCCATATGAAGGAACAGAGATTCTGCTTCTTGCAAACTCACCCACACTCTGTGCCTCGGGCTGGTTTCTTTCCGTTTTCATGCATCATTACCAGTAGCTGAAGATTGGGCAAGCCAGATTTCTTTTTGCTTGCAGATGATGGGAGTTTAGGAAGCAAGACCATGTGGTGGACACAAAATGGGGAAGAAATTTCTGCTTGCTGCTCTGCAGAGACCAGCACTTGCTAGAAGACCTGACAAGCATAAAGATCTGTCAAAGCTCCCTCTACTGCTGCAGGGACACTGAGAGGGCACAAGGGGTCTGAGCAGGGCCATGCTGCGGCCAGGTAATGGGGGGTTATGGCCACACTTCAACTCATAAGGTGTGCTCAGAGAGGGGTGAAAACTGCACCTGAGGATCACTGCCTTGGCACTCTGGAGAAACAGGGGTTTGTGGCTGGGAGGGCACCGTGGCAAGTAGCCCCACCGTCATGGTGGGAGAAGCTGATGGGGTGTGTTTTCTTGCAAGTAGATGAAGTCACTGAGCCCAAGCTGAGAGTCTCTGCTAATGATAAGGGTTCGTTAGCTCCCTCACTGGTACCCTGGCAGGGCTGGGGTGATGTGGTCACAGGGACTGTCGCCTGCCCGGCTGGTGGAGGGCGTGCTGATCCCTAACGTGTTTCAGCACAAATCTCCAGTGTCAGCACAGTTGTACAGGCAAAACTGTCCCACAGGAGCAGCTGGTCTCAGTGGGAGCCGAGGGAGATGTCCAGGTAAAATGCAGCTTTGCGTGTAAATACTTAGTCCATAATAAAAGTGCTTCATCAAGTTAATGTTGATTACTAGTGCTAGCGCAGTTTACTACTATTATAAGAGTATACTAGTCATTATACTCTTAATTATAAATTTGCTCTTTTCTTAAAGACTTTAGATGGTGCAAAATAGCAACTATCAGAAAGCCGTTACAAACGTCCTCACCATTTAAAATCCCTGTTCCTTAGTCTTCCCTCAAGTAAGCCCCTGGACATGTTCTGACAAACAAGGTGAGAAATGTTGTGCTGACCTTCAACCTGCCAGTAAGTAAGAGGGGTCGGGCCCGGAGATACCAGCCAGGCATCATTGATCAGCATGGTGTGATCTTTAACAAACAGGTCAAGGAAGGTAATGGTATTTTCTCTCTAAGGCTCAGATTCCTATTGGCCCAGGTTTATTCAGAAATCACACAGCAGAAACGTCAGAGGGTATGAAATTTCTGGCCCCCTGCAGCTTTCACAGCAGCCCTGAAAGATCCCACTCCAAGCACATTTGACCCTTGCTAGGCTTCAGTCCAGCTGTCAATCTGATTTAAGATTTTGTAATTATAGCACTGGAGTTTTAATTGGCACTGTTTGACAGAAGGTATCCCTGCCTGCCTATGAAATTTCGTGGGTTTTAATGTAAGGATTTTGAAGGGGCTGAAATGTAGGAAAGGGAAATTTTCTCTTGGTTGTAGTTCGTGTAAAGCATCTGAAACAACTTTTTAGAGTGGCATTTTCACTAGAACATTTTAAAGCAAAGTTCGTACTCTGGAACTCAGTGTTTGCAGGTAGCATCAACACTTGCTATAGCAGACTAAGATTAAAGATACACATCTCTGACTTTCTCTTTACACTTTTAATTGCATTGTACTTCTAACAGGATTTCATACACAAACTCTTTAGTGATACAGCTCATTAGCCTCTTCCTCTCCCCCCGCTCCCCTCTTACCTTTAGAAAAGAACAGAAGGGAGAATTTAGGAAAATAATGACCTATTTTATTCTGTAAGCACAGGAACTGAGAGGAGGGAAAGGAGTGATTGCTGAAATTATTTTAACTACTTTTTAATTGGTAAGCTGTTGAGTTGTTACCAGTGAAGAGCACATCAACAAGCAGTATCTAAAGTGGTAAGCACTTCAGTTGAGAAACAGTGCACACAAGCTCTGTAACCATCGACTAAGTGACTGGATCACAAAAATACATCATACAGAGAATATCAGGGGTGGGGCTTGGTGTTAAGAGTCTCTGTTGTCTTCTGTTTTTTGTGGTTTGTTTTTTTTTTTTTTCTCTGAAGAGGCTATGGAGACAGAGCAGGAGACTTTTGCACAGCCTCCAGCTACCCTGCTTTGGGGGCTGTACAATGTGAGGTACTGATCTCTGTCTGGAGACCTCTTCCATACAGATGCAAGATGTACATGTGAATCTCCAGGGCCTGCTTTGCTGCCAGTCGTTGTTAATGGACTCTGAAGGTCCTGCCCAGTTTATAGACCTCTCATCTAATATTGGGCACCTCTATTGCGAACCAGATGTAAAACATCTTTGCATTCCCTTGATGCTGATTTATACTATTTAGAGGGTTGGGGGCTGAACAAGATGAAAAAAGATGAAGAAATTGAAAGCTCCCCTAACTGCTGTATTATCCACCTGACATTATCCAAATGCTAGTCATTAATTTCTAATGCTTTGAAAATCAGAGCAGTTATCCAATTCAAATTATGTTACATCTCTGAGCCAGAGCATTTCCATTATCTTATCATTTCCCATGCAAACAATTCTTCCTTCTTTGCAGTTGTTAAAGGTTCAGACCCCAGTCTGTTTCCTCTCTTTTTCATTTGTTGTCCACAAAAGGATACTTCTACTCTATTCCTGTCCTCTCTTTCATGTTGGTGAAGATCGGTGTGGGTTTGCAGCATAGCTTATTACAAACTTATAAATCCATCCCCCCCAAACTACATGCACACATCTGATGGCAGAACGTGGGCAGCATAAGCCATAACCTTCTTTCCTGTTTGGTGATCAAGTGCTTGGGGAAGGACTGGAGGTGGTGTAGCGTTTAGGCTGCCCTTGCAATGCTTGCACCTGCAGACTTCCCTGGGGGCTGAGCAGGAGAGTTCACTGTCACAACAAGCCCCAGAGCCGAGCTCTCAACCAAAGTTAATTCCCTTTAGACACCAGCAATAACTTGTCCCCTTGGTGGCAAGGCGGGGTGTGTTGTTGGAGTCACCGATAGCGCTGGGCCTCAGTGAGCTGTGTATTCAGAAATTATGGAGTTTATTTCCTGGAACATTTGTTCTTCACTTACGTATATTTTCATGCCTGCCAGCACTCTGAAATCTAGACATCGAGTGTTGGGGGCAGGCTAGATGCAGTTTTTCATTGCTGACATTAATTGGAGGAACAGACCTTCTCAGAAGGGGCGATGTAGGAAATGTATATGGAAAAATGACAAAATAAGGAGTTTCGCAGCTAAATAAAGACAAGTGGCTGATAAATGGTTTTTACAGCTTTGGCTTTCATATGTTTCACTTGGGAATCTAAAACCATTTTGCACAACTAACGAATTAAGATTCACAACACCTTTCTGAAGAAGATAATTGCTCCTGTCTTACAGATGGAGGAACAGAGGTATTGAGGCTATCATTTGAAAATATGTCCCCTGTTTTCAAGTTCCCAGATTGAGATGCATTTAAACCTAATTCTCAGAAGCATTAAACACCCGCATTTGTATTCTTTCATTTGGCATTGTTTGTGCTTGGAGTCTCTGAAAATCAGACGTGTTACCTCCTGACTTGAATGGACAAAATCACTGAGGTAATGTGGCAAAGATCAAACTGCAAGGCCAAGGACTGGGACCCATGTCCCCTCATGCCACATCCCACTTTTATTCACTGAGTATCTGCCTTGGATTCCTGGACAAAAAGAAAAGCACGTTCTGCTCGTTCAGTTTTCCTCTGCTCTCTTGAACAACTGGAAGTTATACCCACGACACTGTTTGGCTTATTGATTGGCTTTATAGAGTCATTTGACCTTGCCTTTCTAACCATCAAGAAGCTGTCTTCAGGGTTTTGTGATAAAGTCTCCTATTGTAGAACTAGCATGGAAATGCAGTGAGAATCATTGGTATCACCTGGTTTTCCCGATGCTTTTGTTTTTTTTTTCAGCATACAACAGTTTTGCCCTTTGTATTAATCGAGATGAGAACAACACATCATCAGTATCCCAGCAGGAGCTGTGGACTGGCTGCAGTGTGCACCTTCGCTGTTGGCTATATTTTATGGTAAGGATTGTACACACGGTGTTTTCATATTGTGGTGTGGGGGGTGTTGTACTGCTAAATTTGGGCACATATTTCATTATGGATCTAATGGCTAACAGATTCACGCTGCATGCCTCATTTGGTCCAAGACCTGGGCTTTGTCTGGCTTCCCTCGATGCTTATATTTTTAGAAAGTATATGCCAAACCTCACACAACAGGAATTTGTTGAACAATCCCATGTAAGCAGTGGTCTTTCCAAGGGTACATTTTTCAACCTTTTTTCAAGCTAAATGTTTTTCTTGGACCTTAGTTTTATTGCTTAGGGTTTTTGTTCTATCAAATAAAATTGAGAATAGGCAAATGATTTCCTGCATCAGTATTTATGCAGCAACAGAAAAGATAGAACACAGTCTTATTTCTTTACTAGTTCATAAATTCTTTCTGTAAAATTGATTACAGAATAAGCCAGCAATCCAAACACTCCTCAGTTTGTTTTAAAAAATGAAAATGTTTGTGAAAAATCAAACTAAAACAGACATAACCTTTCTTACGCAGCATTAAATTAAGTCTTTGGGTAGTTTCTCTTCAAGCACCTGACCTCCATGCCAGAGTTAACTTGCTTGGGCCATTCTAGCATTTTATTTTTCACTAAAACTTTGTTTTATTTACAATGCTCATTTGATGCCATATATTCTCTATCCTTTTTGCAAACATTGCATGACCCCATTTGCTTCTCATACTTCTTTCTTTTCACCTCACAACACCCTTCCTCAGCTAAGAAGATATTTTCCAAAACTGTGGATCATACTGCTTTTTCCACCAGCCAGGTGGGATAAAACTAATGAGAGAGGAACACAGGTTGAAGGCAATAGTGTCATAAGGCTTCAGTATGCAACTTGGGCCTTCGGTCCAGTGAGAGAGGCCATTGTTCACACACATCCATGCACACTGGATCATCTTAAAATGCTAGTAATCCCTATGAAGTGGGGTGTTGTGTCCCAGAACAACAGTCACATTCTCCCATTTACTTTTATAAACATGCATATCCTTCTTAAAAAAAAAAAAATAATATTTTTAATTGTAAGATAAGGACAGTCTTGTGCAAAAAGGCACATAATGATTCCTTCGGGAGAAAGTTCTGGGGGTTTTTGAACCATATATATTAACATCTAACTAATATTTCTTCACCTTCCTCTGAAAGGTGCCCGCAGACAGGTTAGCAGAGTTACTGTACCTGCGATCTGACCTCCTATAGCAACTCCTGTTTTCTCAAAATCATCTGCGTAGACACATGCAGTAGTATTCAATAGAAGTAGAAAATGGAAACAACACCGTTCTGCAAGTGAAATGAAACCAGAGGTGTCTTGAAATGTTTCAGGAATATGTTACAGTATTGGTGTGATACTCACTGGGCTTGATCCTGCCTACTACAGTGCAGCTACATCCTACAACCAAAAGGAAATTATAGGACTAGTAAAGTAGGGGAAGAAGATTCTCCTTTAAGAAATTACTAAGCAGATACCCAGTTACAGCCTACGATCATCTCCCTTTGCTTTTGCTGTTTATCTGTTTTGCCTACACATACATTATTTTCAAAACAGACAGGGCTACTCTCAAGTGACTGACTTTCTTCCAAGTTGTGATTTCTCACAACTGAGAAATTGAGTTCAGAACAGAGTTCTGAGACAATTGCTTATCCAACCTAAAGGTCTTGCTGCTAAATTCTGCACTTAAAGTCCATTTCTCCTTTTACTCTTACAAAAGTAGGTCTTTGGGAAAGACTGGATGCAGACGCAAGCTACACTGTGCCATCATCTGCAAGTTCTGCATGTCTTCAGCCTGCAAGCATTATTGAAGCATCTGTCCAAGATTTGGTTGAGGCTGCAAGCCAAATCTTGACTTGATGATATCAATACAATGTACTTTATATTCAAAGATTGGGAAAATCTAACAGAAAGTATGAAAAGTGAGGGGTTTTTCATCCCTCTCACTCAGATTGTGCCTACCTTTCAGAGCTGAGGTCCACTATCTTCCTGCTGCTAGGTGACCACATTGAAGTAATCACTTAGAAGGTTTGAAGTTATTTGACTTGGATTTGCTGCCCTTGTTGATGTTCTGTTTAGACACCTGAAGGTCATCACACTGCATTAAAATGAGACAACACCTGCAGATGGCCTAGTTACACAGAGCCTAGTGGAACTTACTTCCTTTGTACCTTTAGTTGTCCATGGGCACCCTGCTGGAGTTTGCTTCTTGGTTCGCATGTCTTTTACCTAGAAGTTAGGGATCTGCTGCTTGAGAATTTGTCTTTCTCCCTACATCATTTTCTTCTCAGCAGAAGTGTTTTCACTGAAGCTCTCTAAGTATAGAGTGGAGACACTTGGGAATCAGGTGTTCTCTATGTTTTGCCTTTGAATTTTGAACTCTCTCCCCACCTCAGCTGAAACCTTCTTACTGTGCCATGTGATTTATGTATCATATCACACTTTGTGCTGTAAAGGAGCATATAGGAGGATATTATTTAGGTTTCATTCTGTTAGAGCATTTTTTTCAACTTCAAATAGAGGAGAACTTGTTTTATTCCATATTTCTCTGAATCTTCTACAGATGAAAGAGACAGTGGAATAGCAAGCTTTTATCATATATATTTGATAAATGAGAAAAAAGGCGAACAATTCAGAATAGAATCACTGAAGTTGGAAGAGCATAGCTAAGGAACTTAATATCCCCCAAGCATTATTCGGAGGTGATATCTGAGAAACATAAAACTTTTTTCTTCCTTCTTTTTGCATTCTCTCACTTCAATCAGATAGCCTTTGTCGAGGCACACAGCTCATGTGCTCTCTGTGAGGGGGAGCTCTCCCTTGCTCTTAAGGAGCTGTGCCCAGGCAGAGCACTCGCAGACTTGCATTGCTTGTTGCAGACCGTACATGGACTTTCAGAATCAAGGCCACGGGATAAGACAGGAAAGGCCGATTGGCTTTATTTAGCATGTCTTGAAAAGGTCACAGCTTGTATTGAATTGTTAAATCTAGACAGTGCAAAGAAAACCCAAGAGCTTGCCAGTACTACCACAAAATACTGCCAATGGGTGTATGGAGTTGGTTGTCAAGGAGCAGAAGAAAGCCAGAAGAGTGTTGCTCCTTGTAATAAGAATGACCTCATGGTAACTAATATCAGAGCCTAATATGTCCCTAAAATAAACTGGGACAAATTTGTTTATTTAAAATGGTTTTCTTGTTCCCTCTGCTTTTGAGTGCTTGAGGATGCCAAAAAAATAGACCCGAAGAACCTGACTCCACTGCTCTAGTTATGCTGGGCTACGTATTTGGGAGAAAAAAGACTGATCTGCTCTCCTGCTGCTATCTCAAATCAACTAGGAGCTGCCTCCACATGTGCCAAGCTTGGACTTGATTCATTCTTTCATTCTTTAATAAATCTATTTAAAGAGCTCAGTCACCTTTAAACCTTCATTTGAAAACATTTTCTCTTGAAGTGACTTTGGGAGAGTTCTGTAGATTTGATGAGGGAGAGCATTTAGATGGGGTAATTTGCTGATTTTTTCTTAAATGAATTTCAGAAAGGAATAGACAGCATTTGGAATGAATTTGTGATCGATGCTGTCAGCCTTTGCTGTAGGATATCCACTAGTGATTCTCCATAGAAGGAGAGGAAGAGCAGAAAGAGCAGATGTTGGCAAAGGGATGATTGTGTGCACTGCTAGGACAGTGCATAAGAGACAGGTGGAGTTAGAGCATGAGTCTTGATAGGACTTGACAGCCGTATTGATAAGGAAAGGCAGGATCGGCAAACCAGAAGGATTTCTGAGGTTGCTGGTGCCAATGGAGCAGGAGAGACACAGCATGGCTGTCATAGGATGTGCTGAGGATCTGTAGCAAGGGATGCTTTTGGAGGTGAACACTGGGGATAGGAGTTCAATAGATATCAGAGGAATCAGTGGTTGAGGAAAAAACAAGTGAAAATTCCTTCAGGCAAGTAAACGGATGAACTAGAACCAGGGGTTAGAAGACAAATGGCTAAGGAGATGTGCAGCTCAGAGGTCAGCAGCTTGAAAGCTGAAATCATGCAAGTGGGAAAAACTGAGAGGGAGAGAGAGAGAGACAGGCTTTGAAATCAGAGTGGAAGGCTGGTGGAGAGGTGGGTGATAGATGAGACAATGCAGAGGAGGAGAAGAGTTGAAGTCAGAGCAAGTCAGAACAGGAAAGAGTAGGAAGAAGTAGAAGCAGCAGAAGTAGGCCAGGAGAAGATTAGCGTCCCCTGTGCCTGACCCAGAAGGAGAGTGGGAGAGCAGAAGTGCTTTCAGCGAGAGGAGGCTGCATGGATCCTCAGCCTGTTAGGTCTGACATAGCCATGATGGACTGTTACATTCTGGCTCCCCTCCACCTCCACATCCTCCAGTGTTTCAGTCAAAGCAATAGTGCAATCGCAGAAGACGTGCACAGATAATATATTCTCACTTGCTTCTTCAGCTCCTTAAAATACAGCTCAAGAAAGCATAGCAACCATTACTATATTTAAAATGAAATATTATTTATCAAAATAGATGACTTCCAAAGATGACAGCATCTTGCAGCAAATCTGCAGTTTCTGTCATTCTAGCTACCTGTACATAAACACAAATGTCTGCTAAGCTTTGTTCATCCCAGAGGATGATAGCACCATCTCGTGCGGAGTATGTTTTGCATGGGACGTTATCTGCAGCTGCAGTTTTCCAGGGCTTGTCTTCTTCTGACTGCATAAGCCCCCTCAATACCAGGAGCACAGTCCAATGACCTACATATTTTTCAGCGCCACTCAGATCAATGGAGAAGAATCCAGAGTAAGAAACCGGAACAGGACCAGAAAATATCTGTTATTTCCTAACTGGTGACTGTTTATCAAACCTACTTTTTAGTCTTTAAAATTTCAAAACTATATATATTTCAGGTGATTTAGGCTTGGCTGGGTGATATTATAAGAATCCCAGCAACTTAATATGCCTAAAATCTTAGTAATTCTGATTATATGCAGAACAAACTGTCCTGTGTTTTTGGAGTGGGGGAAGAGGAAAAAACATAAAACATTTATGAAAATGTGCTGTACGCCATTTGGTATTGGAAACCAAAAGTATAACAGATTTAGTATGGGTCATTGTGCTTCTGCCTCTGAAAGCACAGGCTTGGTCCCTACTCTATAACCACAAGTGATTTGTTCATTCAGGTTTTGAATGACTCAGCTGCTGTAAGCCCATCACCTCCTTTGGGAGACATTTCACAATTTAATAGTTCTGGGCAAGGTTCTCACTTTTATGGAAAAGGAAGAGAGTCATGCTAGAAAAGACCGTGAAATACAATCATAGAAAATGCCCATGTTCTGTTGTCTGCTAAAGAGTAGCAACAGTGGGAACTGGCCTAGGAATTTCTGGGACCAAAGATTCTGTCTTCCTTTCTGCCAGTCATTGGGAACCCAGATGGCACAGAAGACATGGAAAAGGGTTTGCTGATGCAAGTAGCCATAAAGGAACTGCCATAGTAGATCAGAATAGTCATGTATCCAGACTCTAGCTGTAGCTAATGTCAGATGCTTCTGAAGAAGATTTAGCAAGTCATTCTGGAATAAACAGCCTCTAAGGGAAGTTTTCTTCCCAAACATATGTCAACAAGTAGATGCTCGGATCCTTCAGTCTTGATGGTTTGTACACCTTGTGCTCTTTAAACTTAAGCACAGCTGTACACATTCTTATTGCTTGTACAGTCTCCTGAGTTCAGAAGCTTGCTAGAGTTGCATAATACAGCCCAGATAAGAGGAGTGGACTAAGTAGACTTCCAAACTTGTATACTTCAGAACTTTTTTGAGTATCTTGATTTCAATGATATATCAATGAAAGATAGGGTAGAGCATTCCAGAGGTTAATTAGGTATCATGCAGAAACATATTTCCATTGTCAGGTTGGAATTTATTGTCCATGAGCTCCATTGAAGTGCTTCTTCTCTTATGAGGAAGAGCACTGGGGGCTCTTCAGCCATTTTATGACATGCATTATTATTGTGTTCTCTCATTCACTGCTCTTGAAAAGTTACACAGCCCCTCATCTAGTAGCTCCTGTTTCCATAACATGTAGTACTGATTGTTGTTTGGCTGCAGATTTCACTGAAGAGCTCAACTTGCGCAGGAAATGGGTGGAAGCTCTCAGGCTGTGATGCCTGTGCAAGTATATTCAAACTCCTGTAGCTGAAAGCAGCCATCATGAAGGAGCAACCATTTTCTGCAATGTCTCCCATTGCAAAATCTTTCAGGTCTCATGGTTATCTGCCATTATATACACGTGTTGAGCTTGTTTCTGCCAGGACAGAGTTTACACATGCTGTTGTAACAACTGCATTAGCGAAAGCAACAGGCAGAGCGCACAAAACATACAAGGGTCTGACAATTTTTTGTAGTTATTTTTCCCCATTAACAAAAGATCTAGAGACAAAGAGTGTATCTTCTCTGTGTTGTTTTCGTTTCCTCCTGATTACTGTAATAGGAGAGATACACAACATCTACTGCATACTAGAAGTTAAAAACAGATACACAGTCAAATTTTTGACAGTTTTTTTTTTTTAAAGAAGCAACAGTGTGTGTTTTCAAATTGCTTTTTCTGATTTTTACACCAGCTTGTTGAATTTTTTTTTCAAATCACCACTTTTTTAAACAGACATTTTCATTTTAATACAATATGTGAAAATTTCTGTTCCTTCTTTTCTTACCAGTTATAACAAATGGTTAAATGAACTCGATGACCTGTAACACATTCATCTTGAAAACACACAATGTCTACATGGACTGCCACAGAACCAAAACACAGGGAGATTCAAGTTAATTTTATCTTCTCAAAAGCAGACGGTCCAGTTTTAGCTTAAACTTTTTCTCCTCAGTTTATTTTTATCTAAACGACCCATTTTTCAATACCTGTTCAATAACAGGGTCTTAAATTGGATCTAGATTTGCACTCTAAGTAAATCTTAACACGTGCTCCCCTGTGCTTATCTAATAATGAGGTTGGACAGGAATAACGACTACCAGAATTGCAACGTTGAAGGCATTCATTAACATTAGTAATCAGCAATCTTGTGTGGAAGCTTTATGCCTATGGTTGATCAGCCTTTATTTCGTGGCATCAAGCAGGAAGGAACCCACTAAGAAAGGCCATCAGGTGAGGGTTTCCATGGCAGCAGTTATCCCTTTGCTGCTCCTGTTTGTGGCATAGACAATGCAGGATCAGTCAGAGTGTCACTGCTCACTGGAGAGAAGGCTGATATTACTCCATCCCAACGTAGCGAGCAGCATGGTACAGCTCATTTCAAGGAAGATCAGCGTGGCTGATCATTTGGGTTTGTGGCCATTGTCCCCCACGTGGTGCTTGGTACCTCTTCTCCTCAAAGCAGGAATTCCCACGGCGTGGCCACAGTGAGTACAGCAGCTACACTGAAAGCATGAGCAGTGTCACCAGGCAATGAATGTGCTCCTGTGCTGGGCAGCAGGGAGCAGGCTGCACAACCTATACTCAAAGACTCTGGACTAACCAGAGATCGCTGGCATCCAGGAGCTCATCAGTGACTCACTGGTTGGATTTAGAAAATATTTCCTCTTTCCAGCATAAATGCATTCTAGTAAATGCCACTTGTACTTGGTTCATGAAGCTGGCTACATAGGTACAGTTCAGAAGGTCCCTTGAAAAGTCCCTCTGTAAGGCTGTTTTGTAGTGCTTGGGCAATTTCATCACACCAGGGAAAATAAGTGAAAAGGAAGCCCTGGCTTTTTTTCAAGCTTTTTCCTTGGAGCTCATTTTTCACAGAATTGTCATAAAACAAAAGCAAATGAAACTGAAGCTGTTAGGCAATAATGGACACTCCCTGCTAAGCCAGACTGGGAGCAGAGGACATCCCATTACCTTCCACCCAACTGTCCCATCTTTTTCTTTGATCAAGAGGAACGTGGCATGCCCTGTTACCATAAGTTACACAGAGACCCTTTAGTTTTTCATAGATGCTTTTAGCTTGTCAGGTTACTTCTGGCACAGAAGAATGTTGTGGAAAATAACTGTAAAGTACAGAGATCATTTTCTGTGCATGAAGTCACTTGGAGAAAGTTTTTAATCTGCATTTAGATTGTGCAGATTAATTTACTGAAACATGTAAATTCCTACATGAAGTGTCCAACTGTTGAGGATTTGGCTGTAATAAAAGCTCTTCTAAGGAGGAGGGAAGCTATGACAACCATGCACATTTCCAGGGTGATGGAGAGTCGTTAAACAGGGATTCTGTACTCTCTGTGACAGTCATTTATAGTAACAGTTTTGGGTGGATTTCTGTGTCTCTGCCCTTCAGGAGCCTGTGGCCGTTGATCTAGTGATCAAAAGTCTTCCTGAAACAAATAGAAGCATCAGCAAGTGAAGCAAATCAGATGGACATGGAAATCCACATCAGTAACAGTCTGTGCAGCTATTGAGTCTTGTCTAGCTGTGCTTCACTGTGAGGTTCTCTCTCAAATTGCTGGGTCAGAAAGGAAGAGATTTACATTCTTGAAGACAACCCAGCAGGTCACGGGCCCCAGCCTGCCTCCACTGAGCACTTTTCCTGGTTAGCCTCTGTGATGTTTGCTCAGTTGTTGGCAGCATTTGGTTTTCTGAGCTTCCACCTACTGGAATGTATGGACTCCCTCTGCTCCCTCTGACCTCACCGTTCACCATGTCAGATCTCCGTGCAGAAGCTGTCTCTTTAGAGGGTCACACACAACACACACACACAGCTCAAGTGGTTCTTCAGGCTGCACAGCAGTAAAGCTGACACCCTGCCTCTTGGGTTACTCTATCAACAATCTCCACTGTAGCTGAATGCTAAAAACCTCTGTCTTTCCAGAAAACCACCTTCATTCTTATTTCTTTACTGTATATTGAATGTGGAGGTGGTCCAAATGTCACTGATGAGGTGGAGTTTTTTTGTAAGGATACCAGGTAGCGGAAAGAAGAGGAGGAGCAACCCAAAATACTGACGGTGCTGAAGAAATTACTCTCTCAAGGAGAAGCTGAACCATATGTTTCTTGCAAACCCAAAAACTGAAATGCTTGCAGTGTAGCAAGAAGAAGCAATAAAAACACACAAGCATGTACAAAATGGCAGAAGGCTGCTGCAGAGAGCAGAGAGTTGGGCTCTGTAGGAGAGCGTGGAAAACCCTGAATGCTCTTTGGATAAAGATCCTGCTTGGAACTGAGGGTGCTGCAGTTTCCATGCTGCCACACAAAACAAGGGGGGTGTATTCTTTGTAGATACCAATGCAGCAAAGAAATACCTGCCTACATCAGAACATGAAAATAGGCCAACTGCTCATATTAATTTTAAAAAAACAATAGAATGTGGGAAATCAGTCATAGTTTCATCATTTGTGATGTCTGTTTTGGGTGGATGTCATCCAGGTGCTCCAGTTCAGTTGCAACTTGCAGTCCTTTCAAATAACTGCTTTTCAGGTTACAGCAGCTATACAAGCCTATAGCCCGAGCTACTTTTGAAAAACAGGACTGTAAGAGTCAGTACTTGTTATTTTTGTTTTGTTTCAGGGTGTGCTGGATTCACCACGTTACAGGAGTGTGGGTGTACCCGCTGCTTGAGCACCTCAGCCCAGGTGTCAAGATAATCTTTTTTGCAGCTGTTACTGTAATAATTAACATATTCTACTTGGTGGGAGAGGTCCTGAACAACTACATCTGGGATACCCAAAAATGTGAGTATAGTTTCAGGAATATGCAATACACCGTCGGGACTTGAATATGCTCCCCTTAAAGTAAAGAAGGTTTTAAGCTGGCTCAAAAAAAGGAGAATGACAGAAGTTCCACTGAAACATTTTGCTTGCTTGCTCTTAAAAGCAGCCCAGATGAACAGAATGGCTGCTGGAGAGCATGAGGAGCTATGAATATGTATTCTTTTTTATAACTTCCAATACTAATTTAAGAGCTGTTGGCAATTGCCTGAGAGGTTTACGATCCACTTGGTTTACAACCTACTGATTAGCTGATGAACCCGTTAAATGCAGATGAAGTATCATTCTGTGGGAATGCTGTTAAGCTTAAACTTAGAAATAAAAATATAACTTTGTAGTATTTTCAGGGATTAGGTGTTTTCTGCTGTTAATTTACTCAAGGCAAATGGATATGTTCATGTCAGTTAAATAATAGGAATGAGAGATCACCTTAGTGCAGGGTAAACGTAGCTGTACAGACTCAACATCACCTACCCTGCCTAGGCCACCCTTTGCTGAGTAGAGGAAAACCAAAAATAAGACAAACACAGGATTAAAAGTAGGTTCCTTTAATCTATGAAAGACGTTTTTCATTTACCAAATTGCTTGAAATAAGCAAACAACATTCATAATCACAACAGTGGCAAATAGCAACTGGAGTGAACTCCATGCTCCATGGGAATTCCATCATCACATTCATTGGGCTCATAACACGTCAGGACAATACAAGCAGCCTACATCCCCTTTTGGGATACTTGGTGTGCACTGGTTAATGCATTGTAAATTCACATGATAGTTTATTGCACCCACAAATCTCTTCTAACGAGTCTTCCAGAACCTAATGCCAGAAGCACAAAGCAGTTTTACTTGCTGTTTGCTCTTATTAGCACCTGGCTGTAAACTGTCTTTCTGTTTTTGCTCTAGAACCAGTGATAATTGGGCACAGTGTTCAAGTCTGGCTTTTGGTCCTGTTTGCTGTCACATGCACATCTATTTAACTTATTTAAGTTAATTCAGGGAATAAGTTTCTAAAAAAGGCAGCCACAAGGAATAATTTCATTTGACCTAAGTCCTGTGTGAAGAATAATAATGTGGTGAAGAATCATGTTTTTACCAAGTCATGAATAAGTAAATGGTGGAAAATCTTCCTCAGTATTCCACAGTATGCATAATAAAATCCCTGGTTCTTGTGGCCCTCCACCCTAGAGGAGCTAAAGGTTCACCATGGCCTTATTATCCTCTCCATCATTTGCTTGATTTGGTTAAGGAATATTGATCCAAAGTCCTTTGTGGCTCAGGCACTTGCAAACCAGAAAATTACACGAGTCACCTGCTGGTTAGCTGCACTCAAAACACTTTGCAAAAACCTAACCTGAAGCGTATGGCAGGCACACCACAAACAGCAGAGATGTAAAATAATGCCAGTTTGTCACCATATGAGACTCGGGAAAATATTATGTGAAAACCGTACATTTAAAAGGGGCTTTTGAGTGGCAGGCTTGCTACTCAAAGCAGTCTGCCATGAGAAGATTTCTGGGGTGAGAGGGGGTTGTTTTGGGTTTGGAGCTTTTCCCTTTTCCTCTGGAGATGCATTAAATAAAACCTCACTACTGACAAAATGATTTGCAGTTTGTTTTTCCAAGTTAAACCACAAACATGGTAGGCAAGGAAAAATTTGCCCTTTGTACAAGCCAGTGTCTGTCCACAGTTTTGAGGGTATCTGCGTTCCTGCCAAACTATTTGATGCATCTGCAGTAGAGCGCTTCAGAAGAAAGGAAGGAGGCTCTTTTTAAAGAGCAAATAAAACAGCTCATTTAAAACTATTGGAAAAGTTCCTTCCAGCAGAAAGCAGAAGACTCAAGATTGGCTCTGGAGCAGCCTCATAAACCCATTGTAATCTTTTGGACCCGGCCTTTTGTTTTGGTTGTTACAGCTTCAGCTGTGGCTCCTCCACGAGGCTGGTTTGCCAGCAGCGCCCGGGGCCGTTGTGCTCCTCACAGGGCCGCCGGCAGCGCGCAGGCCCGGCTGTTCCCGCGCACGTGGGTCGCGCTGCTTCCCAGCTGGAATCCATTACCTCTGCTTCCTCATCCACTTCCAGGGCACCCACCGTCTGCCTATGTGGATGTTGCGTTAGCAGGTGATCTTAGCTGGGACTGGGTTTTGCATTCTCAAATGGTGCTTCTCAGTCCTCAGGAGTCTTTCTCTTCCAGCATACAGCAGGCCTGAAAACCTCCAAAGGAAATATTTGTATTTGAGATGTCTGGCAGAGAGGGCTTAGTCAGAAGAACAATACTGTTGTCAGATACCAATAGTAATTCATTGTCCAGGAACAGGCATATGAAATAGCTGAATGTTTTCATTGCCAGAAAAAACACGGTCTGCTGCCCGACCCAGACTTTGCTCAGCGGAGAAAAGAGACAAGTCCTGCAGTAAGGATAAGTTCTTTAAGGAGCCCTCCCCTCAGCTTAGCCTCCCTGGTATTACTGGAAGGCGTGGCCATTGCACGAAGAGGCAGGCACCCTACTACAGGAATTGGTTCTTCATTCTTGTGCTCTGAAAAAGCAGAGGTGTACTTGCAAACATTTAAAAATCCAATATTGAAATGGCGGGGGGGGGGTAAAGTTCCCAAATTCTGAAACACAGTTTTTAAAACTTGCTTTCAAATAAAGGTGGCTGCTTAGCTTCAGCTATAATAACATCTACTTTAATTTGCTTGTAGGTAAGCAGAGGAGGTGAGGGAACTAACTGTTCCCAGGCCCCTGCAGCCGTCAGAGGCTGAGCCCGCGGCAGGGGAGGAGGCTGATCTGAAAATGGTCCGGAGGGAGGGAGGACTGTGCGGTTGGTTTCTGGACAACCACTGCCATCAGGGGTGCAGATGCTCTTTTTGTTCACAGCAGGTGAGGTAACACATGGAGGAGCATATGAGCAAGTAGGGGAGAAACAGCAGCAGTAAAAGGAGAAGGAAGATTAATGCATTAGAAAAACCTTTCTAAGTAAACTCTTCATTTTTATTCATTGAGACAATTAAGAAAAAACTGTTCTCCATATGTTTTCAGGTATTGAAGAAGGAAAAGAAAAGCCAAAATTGGATTGAACAATTGAAGCAACATGGAGGATTGTTTATGGCTCCATCGAAGATTTCTCATTCCCAACAGAAGTTGGCATGGAGAGGAATCTTTTGGAAAGGAGGAAGTTTAAAGGGCCCTCTGCTCAGTGGAAGGATACTTTTGCGGTTTATATGGAGGGAAAATTATTTTAGCTAATAATAATAACAATAATAATGTTTCAACCTCCGTTCCTACTTCTCCATGTTTGCATGTGACATACACATATAAGATGTATATTTATCTCCACAGCATTCTCCATGTGCATTTAATACATCAAATAAGTAATTAAATCATGAAGTCATTAAATCTTTTCACTTTCACCAAGAACAATGAGTCCCTTCTCTGTATTGTTTGAGAAGAGCTTAACCAGATAGGTCTAATATGGGGAAACAAAACAACACTATTTCAAAGTACAGTGTAAAAATACAGTAGAAGTTAATTGCATGAATGTATCTGAAGAAGAATTCAATTTGACTCAAATATTAATGTAACACTATGTAACAGCTGCCTTAAATAGTACATGTTAATAATTTTATCAGTCCAGTAAAATCTTATTTCCAGTGTTAGACTATCTGAATATGATGCAGCATTTCTTAAAAATGTCAAAATAAAGATCAAATTGTCCCTGTGTTTCTTTCTCCATGCTGATTCTTGAAATTCTAGATGGATTGATGTAATTTGAGTGATTTATTTTCAGGTTTTCCTACAGTGTTAACTGTAGGTGATACTGTTTCTACATGATAATTTTTCTTATTTTCCCAGTACAAGACCTCATCCTCCATTTTCAAGTCTTAAGTTCTCAAAGGATGGCCTGAGCAGTTAGTGTTGTACCAGAGGGAGTATTTAAGCCTTATTTCAGAAAGACATGTAAGCAAATGTTTAAACATATACCTGTTTGTATTAGGAATTCAGTTGCAAAATACTAGCAATTATTTAAACTTGACAGGATTCTGTTCAATCATCAGACAGTCAAGAAGGAACTCTAGTAGGCAGAAAAGTTGTCTAGAATTAAAGTGAATGGAGTAATATTTGGCAAGAAATTATTTATAAAAAAGTAATTTTAAGATCAAAATGTCTTGGTCTCCACATCACGTATTTATTCATTAGTGTATTTAGATGTATTTATTTTAACACATGTAGAGTATTCTAATATGTATGAAGCTGATGTATGAGTTGTAATACAACTTAACTATGTTTCTGCTCTGGAACATTTATGGGGGAAACTGATCTCATGCAGTTCATGACGTGCCTCGACAGCTTTTTTTTTAATGTATTTATATAGACAGTATTATAGGAAACAGTGCACAAGTTCAACAATGTGGTTTTTGATTGCTTTTCTTCAAAAATAAGGTTCTGGATGATACTACTACCTTTGTCTGTCTGTCCTCTCAGTAAATTTTAACTCATTGATCAGAGGGGCAAAGGTTTCAGAGCTAGGCAAGCTACCAGAAAGTTCATGGAAATAATCAGCCAGATGAAGAAGGAGTTCCTCTGGTGGTCCCACAGAGGGAGAGGACAGGACACACAAAACCAGCAGAAACTGGAAGCAAATTAGATGTAGCCGTGTGGTGTTGTAAGGGTGTAATACTGCAACATGGTTCCTCTATCCACAGATGACAAGGGCTTGATTGTAATAGGTGTTTGTTGTTGGAGGTGATAAGGTGTCTGTTACTTGCAGCAGGCATTCAAAACTCAGGAAGGAAAGAGAACACGGATTCAGTCACATTAAGGGAACTAGGAACTGTTTAAAGTCACCACTTCCAAAAGCTGTGGTACCACACGAGAGGAAGGACTGGTGGACAGTGAGTGTGCTGAGGAACCTGGCTGTACTTTCCAGCAGCAGCAGTAACAGACATCACGCCGTGAGAGATTATCAACTGCGGCTTCAGGTGGGAAGCCCAAGGCACAAACCCTCTTGACTTGTTTGTCCTTTGGAGAACTTGCATAACTTGTGATCTATTGTTAAGTCTAGGACATTTTTGCAATTATTTTATTTCACGGGGATTGTTTCCTTCTCTGAATTTGAGAATTCATTCTGTTGGAAAGAATGTGTTAAATAAAAATAAGAAATGCCAAAGTGTCACACAACTGAACACATTCTTCTAGAGCACACTGAAGGTCTGTGCTATATTCATTGCACCACTGAATGGCTGAAACCTCAAAAAGTGGATGCTGATGGAAAGATTCCTCTTTCTCAGCAAGTTTTGCACCTGCTTAAGCTAAGTTTTTCCTCTAATACCATTTCATTCTAGGGGACACTGGAAACATAGTAAGAATATAAAGAGAACAGAAACATCAGAGATCAAAATTACATAGCTGAATCCATAGGTAGGTGACCAAATTAAAGAAGACTCCCTTTCACAGGTACAGCATAGGGACATTTAAAATTGTCATCCTTCATATTTGTGAATATTCAGCACCTCAAAAAAAAACCAACCCAACTGACTACCAATTCTAGATCTCAGTTAAGCCCTTGAGGTTGGCCATATTAGCCAAAGGCAATATATGTGGCAGAAAATGTGGTGGGTTTCATTTGGTTTGTGGAAATTTATAGTGTTCCAAAGTTTGAACTCAATTTGTCTTGTCAGATCTCAAAAAGTTCTCCACCTCCTATGAGCTCTGAATCATCATATTTAAAGTAAAAAACATTTTAGGGCATTAAATCCAGCCTATGATGTATGAGCCATGATAAAAATAACTTAGGGGCCCGTGTACCCAGAGAGCGCTCTTCTAGACTGTGTTCATTCCCTTTAGAATTACACAATCCATCATTCTTAGGAAAGATGATGAATGATGACTAAAGTAAAAGTCACTTGTAAATTTGCCAAATTTCAACCAACTTGGCTGATATTGTCCCTGAAAGGTATTTTTCTTGGGGGAACTATTTTTTTGGTGGAAAACTTTTTGTCAGAACAAGTCATCTATTTCCAAATACAAATCCATGGGGGGGGAAAAAAAAAAAGTCTGAAAACTTTTCTCTACTTTTTTCTTGCAGTGGAACTGGGTCTTTGAAAGAAGAAGAGCATTTATGTTAATAGCACTTCTGAATTTATGGGGAAGATCTCTTAGGTTTTGTCCAAATTTTAGAGAAAACATGTCTGGACTTCCCTGTAGTGCACAGGTAATTCTCCAAAGTGTTTTGAATTTGGGAATGATTCATCCTGTGGATAACCAGGATTTTAACCCCCATTCCTGATCAGCTGACCTTCTCCAGGCATGACAACTCATGACACACACCAGAATGGGGACCCCGACTTTGATTCCTGTGTATTGTCAATACCTCCCTGAAGCCAATGCAAATACAGCTGCTTAGACCAAATATTATGAAGGAAGAAAAGCTTTGATGAAAACTTGGCAGTGAGAATAGGTTCTAGATGGATAAACTAAATGAAAAAACTCCTCCCTTTTCCCTTGAGGACTGCACTAAAATTAAATTACTAATGTTTGTTGAGTATATCATAGCTGTAATGATAAACCACATAGAAAACTCCATGAAGGAAACATCAGTTTTGTTGTCAGAGAGGAATATAACATGCAGTAAATAAGGCAGGCTGCCACACCTTGAACAACAAGGAAAAAACAGTTTCATCATTCAGTGAGCACCATCCATCATGTGTTATGACTGAGGCAGAGGAAAAAATATTGTGTGATCATCTAATTAAAGGCAATATCATAATTCATACTCACAAGGGGCCAAATTAAGGTTGAACAGACAGCCTTAATACTGACATTACCTCACTCTTGATTGCCTGACTTTGCAATCTTAATGATACTCTCTTGACTTAGTATAGAACACAAAAAAAAGGGGGGATTTTTTTTTTTTTAAGGCGGGTTAGAAATTCTAGTTACAGAGTTGCTGTGAAATTCAGTATGACTGTATCCCCTGTGTGGCTTTAGAAAGCTCATTCTCATTTTCTGCATGCATTTAGCTACCCCAAAACATACATGCACAGTTCCCATACCACTCTGTTACAAAGAGATTGCCATAATTTTGCCACAATTTCAAAATCAAATTATTTTAGTCTATGATTTAGCTTGTGTGTGATAAAACCATAGTTGTCTGTTTCTGTATAGAAGCGGTTGACTGCTTTATTTTAAAGGAAAGTGACAAGTATTTTTCCTAATTTTAAGTTGATTCTTTGCTTCTCTGCCCACATGACTAATATTAGCTAAATCACCATCAGTCAATGTGAAAAACACTTGGGCACGGTGAGCAGACTGAAAAATGGCTGACGATTCTGCAAGCTCCCACGTGGTAGTTTGTAATGACAGCATATAAGGCATACATTTCTTATTTCATTTTTTCCTGTTGAATTTGCTATTCCAAGACTATTTCAAATCCTAACAACAATTTCTTCTTCACCTTTTATTTTCTATGAAGATTGGTCAGTCAGCAAGGCTCTGATACACACTTTGGTAGCCTTTGAAGACTCGAATACTGTTAGACTGAACGGATGTGTAATCTAAAACTTGAGTTACAGTCCTGAAGAGACCATCAGCCTGAGGTTAGCATCGCTGAGGTAGGTTTGGTGTTCCTGCCCTGAGAGCAAAGGAGCAAGCAGTAGGAGATGTGCGAGGTGAGGTCACCTTTGAATGCAGCCTCGGAGAAGTTATGCTGCTAATCCTGTCTTTCAATGCTCTTATGTTTCATGTGAACAGGTCCAAATGTTCGTGACAGGTGTTTTCCATCTGCAGCAGCAAAAGAAAGCTCCTAACCAAAGCACTGTGCATGCTAGTAGAAGAGGTCATCTCTGCTAGGGTATCCCAGCTGCTCCACTCTGTTCCTGTGGTTCAGAGCTTCACATGTCACTCTAGCCAACCACTTAAACCGGAGTCGCAAGTGTTGCAGGGAAGGAAAGAAACCTGGGAGTTGTATTATATATTTGGGCTGTTACATTGGGCCCAGCATGTTCATACATGTTGAAAAAGTGCAGGTGTCTTCCACGTGTCTGACTGTGGTATTAAACCTGGGGGTTGACTATTGCAGAAGTCCCAGGGGGAAAAAAAAAAGCAGTTGCAGCTTTGACTGGTCAACTTTCTACAGTGGTGATGATCTCGGCTCTTTTTGAAGCAAGAGGAGCAAAGGGGAATTGAAAAGAGCCCAGAAAGTAAAAAGATCTAGCTGTTGACATCTGCTCAGGAGAGTGCTTAGGCGAGCGCTGAACTCAGTGCTCCCACTGAGCTGCTTTTCAGCACGGGGGGCTTTGCTGAATGAGGGGGCAAGTGGACTTGCAGGTGGGAAGCTTTCTGTAGTGCTTCTAATGATGTAATGAAATGAAAGAGCCTTTTGTGTTTAGAGTGGAAACAGGTCTTTTCAGCATAGTGACTTCCTCTTGTATTATTAAGTACCTCTAAGAAGAACAGAACTGTCCAATTTACAGACCATAAACATCAAATATATTTAACGTATATTCTCCAAAATAAGCAATTTTATTTTTATCAAAAATGCACTCTGTTTTGTTCAAGTAACAGATGGAAATCAATGGATTTTAATGTAACCCAGATGAGAAAGTTGCATTCTTGTTCCCTTAAGT